TCCAGGCCAGCCAGGGTTAGAACTTGTCTATAAATAAATATTTTTAAAAATTAGTTTTTTTAAAAAAAAAAGGTAGAGAGTGATTAAAGAAGAAACTTGACATTGACCTTTGGCACACATAGCTGCATACGTGTGTGCATGCACACACACACACTCCTAAGCATAAATTCTGAGTGCAGTTTTGAAAGCAAGCAAATGAAGAAGAGCCCTCCCCTTCTTTCTGTGTACAAGGGAGTATGCAGACATGTATGGAGGTCTAAAGACAGCTTGCAAGAGTTGGTTCCCCTTCTACCATGTGGGTCTTAGGGATGGAACTCAGACTGTCAGGCCTGGCAGCAAGCACCTTTACCTGAGCAATCTCGACAGCTAAAGGACAGTTTTTAGAGATACACGTTAGATCCCTGCTGCATGTAGGGCGGTGGCCCTTACCTCTTGGTTAGAGCTGCTATGAAAGCTGGTGAGAAGGGGCTTGTGTGCCGAGCTGAAAAGGGTCCAGTTGCCTTCTGCACAGGCCACACTCTTGGCTGTTCTGAGTAGTGTCCAGGCTGCCCCTCGGCCCTGTTTACCAGCTACTCTGTGTGTACACACCGAGCCCCACCCAGCCTGTCCCCCTTATTATATAACCATGTCCCTATTCTTTAGACTGACTTCAGGTTTCCAGGAAAACTAAGAGGGTTGTGTGTGTGGCTCAGTTGGCCCAGTGCTTACCAAACATGTGCAAAGCCCCAAGTTTGACCCCCAGCTCCCCGTAAACCGAGAATAAGTGTGGGTACCTGCAATCTCAAAACACAGGATGTGAAGACAGGAGGGTCAGAAGCTCAAGGTTATCCTTGGCTACATAGTGAGTCAAAGCCAGCCTGGGATACACAAAACTGCCTCAGAAAAAAGGAGAAGAAGCAGTTCCCACCGTTCCTGCTGGGATTCCCATCCCCCGACTCTGGCACAGTTGTTACAACTGCTGAACCTTACAAGCCTTACAACCAAAGGCGGCCTTTCCACGGGGCTTTTTTCTCTTCCAGTCACACACTCTGCAAGATTTGATAAATCTGTCGTGACCTGTGCCCTCCATTAGAGTATTGCAAAGAATAGCTTCAATGACCCAAAGTCCCCCATGTCCTGTGTCCCCCTCCTCACCTCTCAGAGCCCCTGGCAAAGTGGCTTTCTTGCCATCTCTGTAGTTGTGTCTCTTTCAGAGCATTTCCATTTTGTGATCAGCTGATGCAGCCACCTCACACAGCGCACTCCACTCAGCAGTGTTTCAAACGCCTCGTCTTCTGGTGGCTGCACAGGACATTTCTTTGGTGTGACTGACATCCTACTGTCTGGCTATACCACAGCCTGTGCATTGCTCTAGCAGGCTCAGGGTAAGCCCTCCACTGAGGCCTACACACGCTGCATGTTGAGAACCTTCCTGTGGCCCTGCTCTCAGAAGATGACAATGGGTGTCCACTCCGAGGCTTGTAACCGTAAAAATGGGCTTATGAGTAAAAGAAACTTGAACAAACCTCTCAGGGGTTTGTCCCTTTCCTCACTGAGGTTTTTGAGGAGGAGGGTTGGATCTTGAGTAGGAAATACTGTCTGTGGAGACTGAGGAGGGATCCCACAGGATGAGGGGGTTAGGAGTCCTGGAAGATTCCCTCAAAATGCCCCCCAAGCAGGACACAGATAAAGCTGTGGTCAGAGGGGAGTTTCATTGTGGCTCCTTGGTTGTGGGTTGAGTCTGAGTGACACTGGCCTGAGGTAACAGCTGTTCCCAATGTCAGAGTAGTGTGTTCCTGAATACCATGTACACCGCCACCACACCATTTCTTCAGGATCCTGGAAAGGAACACTGTGCCCGTACACAGAGGAAGAATAAGGCCTTCCATGTGTGCTTACTCAAGTGTGAATTCGTGCTTCTGTATCAGAGAGTGTGTGGTGTGGTCAGAGCAACCTTGGGTGCTGGTGCTCAGCGTCCATACTATTTTGAGGGTCTATGTTATTTTCCCTCTATACTAGCTGGCTAGCCTGAGCAGACCCAAGAGCTTCTTGGGATTCCTGTGTGTCTGCCTCCCCTTTCTCCATAAGAATGGCTGGACCTCAGACTCTCCTGCTATGTGTCTTGCTTTACTTGGATTCTAAGGAATCAAATTCAGAGCCTTACCCTTGCACAACAAATACTGTTACTCAGTGAGCATCTCTCCAGGCCAAGCCTTAGGCCTCAGATTGTACAGCATCAGAAAGGCAATGGGGCTACAAAGAGAACTAGGACCTGAAGGGCTGACTCCAGGCAGCTCAAAGTCACCCTGCCACTTGCCTCTTAAGGGACAGAGCCAGAAGCTTACTGCTCCGAGCAGCCTATATGTGTGTGGAGCTTAGAAGCTAGTCTTAGGCCCCTTAGTGTTAACCTGGCATTGACAGGCTGGGCCAAACTCCAGATACAAACCGAGTGAGGGGCTGGAGAAGTGGAGAGAGCAGTCTGCACAAAACTGGACTTGAGACACAGTTTGAGCTGTGTCAGACTCTGCTTGGATGATGATGAAGGAGGAGGAAGAGGAGGAGGAGGAGGAAGCAGAGGAGGAGAAGGAGAAAGAAGAAGGGGAAGGAGAAGAAGACACCTTCTGCTAAGAATTATGGAAGCAGTGTGGGCAAGAGGACTCAAGAATCAAAGCATAAACCTGACAACCCAAGTTTTAACCCGGAACCCATGGTGGAAGGAAAGGGCTGATTCTACAGAGCCACGCTCTGACCTCCACATGAATGTTCTCAGTGATTAAAAAAAAAAAAAGATTTAATCTATTTTATGTGTACAGATGTTCTGCCTGCATGTATGTCTGTGCACCACATACATGCAGTACCTGAAGGAACCAGAGGTGGCCCTGACTACCCCGGAACAGGAATTACAGGGGTTTGTGAGCTTCCATGCAGGCACTGGGAATCAAACCCAGGTTCTCTGGAAGAGCAGCTTGTGCTCTTAACCTCTGAGCCGTCTCTCCAGCGCCTTCCGAATGATCCTAATAGGCCCGGTCACAGCGTTTAACAAAACAGATATATTAAGTTCCAGGAATTATCTTCAGGGACTACTAAAACTTTTTTTTTTTTGCATGAGTATGTGTGTGTTTGTGTACTGTATTCACTTGTGTGGGGAAATGAGTGCAGATTTGTGCATGTGCACATGTGTGTGTAGAGCTGGAAGGTTGATGTCAGCTGTCTTCCTCAATCACCCTCCGCTTTCTGAGAAAGGATCTCCCACTGACCTCAGGGCTCGCCATTATGGCTGATCTGGCCAGCTAGATTCACCAGGGGATCCTGCCTCAGCTTTTTGAGGGCTGGGATTAGATGCAGGCCACCACAACCACCGTTTCTGTGTATGTCTAGGGATCTAAGTTCCAGTTCTTAAGCTTGCACGGGAAGTCCTCCACTGAGACATCTTTCCAGCTCTATTTAAAATGTCTTGGATGGGACTTTGCCCTGAAAGAATGCCCAAGGATGAGTTTATCTATACTATTAACTGGTCAAAGGGCAAAACTGTTGCTACAGCTAGCTGGAAAAAATCACAAGGTTCAAGGTAAGAGAATGTGAGACTTTTCTTTTGCAACATTCTAGTTTTAAAGTGACACATGATCATGGCTAACTTGAAGTGGTAGGGACACCTCCTGGGGACAGGAAAAGCCTCACCTGAAGAGTGGAGGGCAACGTTCTGGCAAATATCTGTTCCTAATCAATAGCCTCCTTGCAGAAGAACATGAGGCATAGGTGATTCGATTCTGACCCTCATTGCACATCCCACTGTGAGCCGGGCACGCCTGGGCTTTACGGGTGCCTTCTGTATGCTCCGCCTGCACTCCTAGGGAGAGCAGGCCCCCTGCAGATCGGTGGTAGTCTTTTTTATCACACTCTCCTACCTAGCATTTTCAAAAGACATATTATTTGTGTGGTTGGGTAGGTGTGTAAGCAGGAGAGAGGCAGAGACAGAGAGTGGACTTGTGCGAATGCACACGAGTTCATTGCCCTCGGAGGCCAGAAAAAGGTATTAGATTCTCCCACCCCCACCCCTGGTAGCTGGAGCTACAGGTGGTGTGAACTGCCAGACTGCTGGGAACAGCACATTTGGAGGAGCAGCAAGCGCTCTTAACCTCTAAGAAGTCAGGTCCTCCTCATTGTCATCCACTGCCATCCATTTGTCCCCTGTGGCCATTTCTATCTGCTCTAGATGGCTTGGTGGTAAAGTCTTAGTCACTAGAATGCAGCTGCTGCAGGCCGGGGGCTTCCTGTGTAGGATGGCATCTGACGGCACAATGCTCGGTAACTCTTCTTAGGGAACCACAGCATCGAGCTACCACTCATGGCCAAGCAGCCGGCATGAGTTGGATCCCCATTCATGGTGTCATTATTTCCACTCTCCAGAAGTGAGTCTTCAGCCTCACCCCATGAGCTGAGAGCTCTACCCTGTGAGCTGCATCTGTGCTTATGGAATGACCCAAACTTTACCTTTAGGGAACTGATTGTTGTTCCCTCTTGGGGGGAAAGAAAAGAAATCCTGGTCTCACTTCACTTCAGAAGTGACCTTGTTTCAAAGAGGGCAAATGATGTTTGGAGTCAGATTACAGGAAAGTCCTGGGTTCTTCGAGGGAGAAAACGACAAATGTCGTAACATGTTTCATGGGCTGAGATATAGGTCAGGAGTAGGGTGCTCTAAGTTTGACCCCCAGTGCCATATAGACCAGGTGTAGTAGTGTATATCTGTAATCTAACATGTGGAGGGAGGAGAAGCACATGTTCCAAGGCCATCACTGGCTACACATTACATTTGAGGCTAGCCTGGGGTGCACGAGACTGTCACTTTGAAGAGTGCTAATGTGTGTGCACAGTACTGTTGCCTGAGCTTTAAGATGGACCACCCAGGGAAGAATGTCCCACTTGTGATGCCCAAGTGAGTTTAATGACCTTGTATTTGAGTGTGAGTTCCAGGTTCTCCCTAGGTACCCCGTTCTTGGGTCTGAGTTCCGGGTTCTCCCTAGGCACCCCCTGGCTACCTTCTTCCACCTGTTCTTCCGAGTGAGTGCCATTGTCACCTATGTGTGCTGCGACTGGTTCAGCAGGAGCTTTGTGGGCTGCTTTGTCACCGTGCTCCTCCTCTTGTCCTTTGACTTCTGGTCTGTGAAGGTAAGGCTCCCTCTCTAGGGACACTCAGCCTTTGCTCCCAGGTGGTGATGTCCTTTGTGCATGTGGTATCCAGGGGCACTTTGATTTAAATTGTTGCTATCTATTAAAGAACACTGCGGGGCGGACAATGTGGCACAGGGGGTAAGGGGTGCTGCTGCCAAGCTTGGACCAGAGCAAGCTCCTTGGAATCCACTCGATGTAAGAAGAGAGCTGACCCTCCCAAGTTGTCCTTTGTCCTCCCAAGTGTGCTATGGCATGTGAGTGCTTTCCTTCAAACAAAATAAATGTTTAAATTTTAAGGTTTACTGGGCCCATGGCAGTGATGAACCCATATGGCTTTGGACTTTGTACAATTTTCATGATATATGCACATGTATAGACATATAATGTGGACGTGTTTTATTTTGAAGCGGTCTTTGGTTTTTGAGACAGCGTCTCAGTATGTAACCCTGGTTGAACTCTGACTCACAGAGATCTGTCTGCCTTTGCCACCATACCTGGCCTAGACTCTCACTTTTCAAAGTAAGTAGGGCCTGGCATGGTAACACACATCTTTAAACCAGCACTCAGGGTTGGGGGTGGGGGTAGGTGGGCAGAGGCAGGTGGATCTCTGAGTTTGAGACCAGCCTGTCTACATAGCAAGTTCTAGGCCAACCAAGTGAGACCCTGTCTCAAAAAAATACAACAAAGCAAAACAAAAAATAGAAGCTTAGAAATGAGAAGGCTGGAAAGTTCACTCAAGAAACAATTACAGTTGAACATCCTTTTAGCCCTTTCTTATGTGTGTGCATACACACCTGTGCCATAATGCACTTGTGGTCTGAGGACAACTTGCAGAAGTCAATACTCCCTCTATGTGGTTGTGGGGATTGAACTTAGATGCTCAGGCTCGGCAGAAGTGTTGTCACCCACTGTCACAGGAAGACCATTAACAGAAACAATTGGCCATTTTGTTCCTCGTGTGCTCATGGCCCTTTTGCTCACTTTCCTCAGAATGTAACAGGAAGACTCATGGTGGGTCTTCGATGGTGGAACCAGATAGATGAAGACGGGAAAAGCCACTGGATATTTGAATCCAGAAAGGTATGCTCTGAGACAAGACAGACTAAGGGCTGGGGAAAAGCTGTGTGATGCTTACACAGGTTCCCAAGTTATGTGTGTGCCCGTTGGGTGGTGGTGGCCATGCCTTTAATTGCAGCACTTAGGAGGCAGAGGCAGGTGGATCTCTGTGAGTTCGAGGCTAACCTGGTCTACAGAGCCAGTTTCAGAACAGCTGGGGATGTTATGCAGAGAAACAAACGAAAAACTACAATGGCTGTCCCCAACAGGTCTCTGCAAACCATATGGCTGCCACTGAAGCAGAGGCACGCATCTTCTGGCTCGGTCTCATCATCTGCCCAGTGATCTGGACTGTGTTCTTCTTCAGTACCTTGTTCTCCTTGAAGCTGAAGTGGCTGGTAAGATGCTCCCAACCCTCCTGCTGCGCTGACAAACCAGGGGCTAGAAGTGGTCACTCACAGCTTGATGGAGACAACTTCATGACACATTCACCATGTGAGGGGTATACTTTCTGGCTTCTGTCAGTTTTGTGGAGTTATATCACAAAATCTCAGGACTTAAAAAAACAAGCCAGATTGTATTATGACTGTGTGAGTGTCTGTGTGCAGTATGTGCAGCCAGTATAGGTGCCCTCAGAGCCAGAGAGGGCCTGAGCTCCCCTGGTGCCGGAACTAGAGGCAGTTGTTAGGTGCTGATAGAAGTGTTGGGCATCAAACTCAGGTCCTCTGTGAGAACGTGCTGATCTCTTAGCTGCTGGGAGAACCCTCCAGCCCATTTAAAAATTATTTTCACCAACACAAAGAAAATCTGTACTCTGTAGCTATTGTCTGTTCTGTCATTTCCCTGGCTCCTGGCACTTGCCTTCCTAGGTAGACTTGCCTGTTCCAGGATGTTACATAAATAGAATCACATGATATTTGCTCTTTTTCACTCAGCACATGTTCAGGCCCATCAAACTACACTTTCTTTGTAGAGTTAAATAATATTCCGTGGCATGGGTATATAGCATGTTGTTTCATTCCTTAGTGGATAAGGATGAATAATGCTAATATGAAATTACGTTTTGCTTCTGAAGTGCTGGGGAGGGAACCCAAGGGCCTTGTGCTTGTGCAAGCTAGGCGAGTGCTCCCAGTGAACTCTGACTTCAGCTCCAAGAAGGAGTTTTGACTAAAACATGCGGTATCTGCTTTTAGCCGCCAGCCTTTCTTGGGTAGGAGGGCTGGCAGTACCCATTCCCTTTGGGAGAGCCGTCCATTCAATGAGGACATAGAATACAGGGCATGGTGACAGCAACACTGTGATGGCAAATTGGCTCCTTTAGTTTCTGCCTCCACCAGCACCAGCTCCATGGCTTTGGGCAGCTTCCGTTTCTCTGCTTGTCTCCTTTACGTGAACCAAGGTAGTCACAGCCTTTGGCTGCTTAGGTGTCCATGAGTGTTTGCTTGGATAGAGTAGCCATGGCAACCCTTCCCTGTGAGTGCGCACCCTCAGCGGGCTTCCCTCTGCTTTGCCCAGTGCAGGCTCTCGTGGTTGCTGGCATTTCCCTCCAAGCTGCGAACCTCTATGGCTACATCCTCTGTAAGATGGGGGGCGACGGTGATATGAGCACAGCTGCAGCTAGCTTTCTGTCCCAGACAGTGTTTCAGACGGTGAGTGACGAGTCCCTCCCTAGAGCCTTCCTTCCAGGTGCTCAGTGAAGGGCACCTGCAGGCAGCTGCAGCCAGCTCACCCATTTTACTGTGTGTGCATATATATATATATATATATATATGCAAAATCCAGTGTTGACTATTTCTGATGTATAGCTGTATAGCTCTAGCTGGACGTGGCAGTATACACCTTTGATATCAGTACTCTGGAGGCAGGGGCAGGTGGATCTGAGTTTGAGGCCATCCTGGTCTAATGAGTTCCAGCCAGCCCAGCCAGGGCTTCTTAGTGAGACCCTGTTTTAATAAACAAACAAATTAAAAAAAAAAACCCACAATAGGTCAGTTAGTTCTAGGGACAGCCTTGCGCAGATGTCATACAGTCTAGCTCCAGAACCTTCTCACTTCTAACAAGAGGACAGTCCTTTAGACACTAGCTCCTCATTTGTCCCTAGCTCCTGGCACCCACCATCCTAACAAATTGACAGCTCCTATCAATACAGTGTCTGACATTTTGTGACTACTGTTTAGTTTTAAGTGATATTTAAGACTGGGGCTCAAGTTAGGAAAACTTGCTGCTCCCACAGAGGACGTAGGTTGGTTTCACAGCACCACACGGAAGCTCAGTCATCTATCTGGACCTCCAGTTCCAGAGGACTCTGTAGCAGGACGGTTTTTCTGCTACATTGTATTCACAGATTAGGCAGAAAAAGAGGTGGAGCTGGGAGAGAGAGGAAGGGGAGGGGAGAAAAAGAGGAAGGGGAGGAGAAGAAGGAGGCTATCAGCCATGGAGAACCACGGATGGGTCAAAAGCTGTCCTGGGTAGCAATTTCTATCAAAGGGTTAGATACTGGGTAACAACTCTAATCGTGTGGGCATCTTGTTGATTGAGCATTTCTAAATATATAAATCCTTAGATAATCATTAAGCTTTAAGAGTCTTTATTCTACTGGGTACTGTGAGGATGGCAGATATTGTCTGGTGTCCAGCTGAGCTTTGTGGATGCAGCGTGGGGGTTTGGCAGAGCCATCCCCGACGCTGGCATCTCATGGGTACCAGGGCCTGTGCATCTAGCTAGCTGGAGCCCCTGTCAGAGCCGAGGAGCAGCAGGAAGATGGTGGCTGCCCGGGAACATGCTTGACTGGACGCCGTTTTCTAAATATCACCCATGCAGGACTCTGCTCCCTCTTCTGACTGCCACAGACACCACTCATTACACATACACATTCATTCAGGCAAAATGCTCATACACACAAAATAATTAAAGCAAAACCTACAACTGGCCAGGGAGAGGGCTCAGTGGATAAAGGCACTGGATGTGTAAACCTGACAACATAAATTCAATTCCAGGAATCCACACAAGCCAGATGTGGTGGCAAGCATCTATAACCACAGCACTCCAGATGAGAAGGTAGAGAAGTTCATGGGCCAACTAGCTTGGAGTACACAGTACAGAGACAGATGAGAGATCCTATCTCAAAAACAAGGTGGAAAGTCCCCAAAAGTTGTCCTCTGACCCCGACAGGTGCATCATGGGATGCGCATTCCTACACATATACATGCACATGAATACACACACACACACACCACAGAATTAAGGAAAGAATGACAAAGCCTTGTTTTTGTTTTAAAGCCAGGAAATATTTCTTGGATAATTGTCTCAATAATTGCCAATTGTCAAAATTGAGAGCTGGAGGAGTCTTTTTGGCTTGCTGTGCGGTGCTCTGATCGATGCTACTTGTGCTATGGGTCTCCCCAGTGAGCCTGCTTTTTGTTGGGACAGTCATGGCTCTTCTTGCCTTGCAGGATTCCCCAGGTGACTTTGAGAAGCCCAGGATGGAAGGGCTGGACATCCACCAGCACTAGGTGAGCCGTAGGTGCGGTCCAGAGGCCTGAGCACTTGTGAGAAACCAGCTCCTGACCTGTGCCACAGGCCGAGGCGAACTTTCCCCAGTCCTCCAAGTTGACCCGGAGCAAATCAAAGCTAGAACCCCAGTGTTTAGGGCCTGCTCAGGACCCATGGAGCTTTGGAAAGCTTTGGAAAGGTTGCACCTGCCCCTCGGGGACCCCAGGGACTCCAAGAGTTCATGTGTAAAGTGGAAGGGGAGGGGGCTGCTCACTTTCCAGAGTTACGCCACAGTGCAGTGGAAATCTGGAATGCCTTCCTTCAGCAGCTCTCAGTTCTACGTCTTAGTCCCAGACCATGGGGACAATTACATCTGTCTCTCAGAAGTGCCAGGTATTGGTTTGTCTGGGACCCTGGGAATTACTAGATGTCTAGAAGGTACCCATCACCTCATGGGTGACTTACAAGTCTTTCCAAGGATTCTGATGGGCCCCAGCCAAAGCACTCACACTGATCCCAGCATGACTGGATCTCCCAGAGCTGGAGACCCCAGTGTGGGCAGAGGCTGGTGTCATTCTCCCTCCTGAGGAGGCCACAATCCTCCCTCTGTCTCCCCCTAGGTTTATCACCTGAGGCAGAATTACAGCTCCTGGGAGTCCTGTGACTTAAAGGGTTCCAAGTCCCTTGGATTCCAGAAAGTAGGCCCTAAGGGACAGGTTCAAGGAGACATTTTTATTTTCTGGTGAATGGCACCTGGATATAGAGCGCCTGTACCTTTGATCTCGAAGAAATAGGCAGATAGGTGATTATAGTGTCTTAATGAGTGACTGCAAATCCTGTCAGCATCTGTGTGGCACCACCTGTCCCCCGCTGAGCAGGTGTGGCTGGACACGTAGCCTGCAAGCTCTGTGGTTAGCAGGTGGCACTTGGCCCTGTCCCACTTCAGGGACTGATGAGGTTCTCACCATGTGACTGATGAGAATTACAAAACTCTCGGATCCCTAAAAGACAAGTTGAGGGGTGAGTTCTTGCCCAACACCTCTGCCTATGGCTTGCTTTGGCTTACCAGTTAGGACTCCAATCGGTTTTACTGGCCACAGCAAGTTATCCCATGCTGTGGACTTCACCCACCCCTGTTTCTCAGACTAAGGCTAGCTCATGATGCTGACCCGGGGAGAAGCCTCAGGGTCTCCTGGGCTCAGGAGCCATGCTGATCGTGCGGTCCCCAGCAACCTTGCTGTCTCCAGCTGAAGCTGGCAGGTTAACCTTATTGCTTCTGAACACTTCACTCCTCTAGGTGACTTCCTGCAGGGGATGTCTCAGGTACTTACTCTGAATTATACTTCTGTAGGCTGCTGTGGCTGGTGAATCTGGGGCTTCAACAAAAAAAGACTGGCCTTTGTCACAGCTCCTGCCTTAAAGAGATGGAGAAAAGGAGAAAAGGAGAAAAGGAGAGCGTTGGAAAAGCCTTGCTCTTTTGTGCCTGCTTCAGTGTGGCTGCCTGGGGCTCCCTGCTGGGACAGTAAAGGAGGAAAGACACAACATGGGCCCCAGCTGTGTCCCTCCTCAGCAACAGACGATGTTGCCTTGCTGTGGCCACAAGTCAGTTGGGTAGCATGTGGCAAAGGCAGATTCTAGGCCCAAAGAACTGTTTTCCTCTGCTCTGGGTGGCCCAGAGGTCTGCAAGAGATTCACTAACCCGCAGCCCAGGAAAAATGAGAGTACGGAAAGGGAACCAGCTGGGGCTCTCAACAAACAACTAAGAAAGGGAATGAGGAGGGGCGAGCTTCTGGGCATCTCTGAGGAAACACACGTGTAAACGTGGAACACACACTGACTCTTAGGTGAGCAGAACCCTCAGTGCACACACCCTGTCCTCTGCCTACCCCCCCTATCATGTCATCTTTATGGTTCTTTCCAGCTGCATAGTCACTCACATGCGCACGGATGCACACACTCACCATCCTGAGTATGGAACCCAGGGGAACCTCCCTCAAGCCCCGGTCCCCATGTTGCTACTCAAGGCCCTGTTCAAACACCTCAGTCCTCTCTTCCCTGACAGGAAAAAGCCAGCTCCCACACTTGGGTACATAGTCATCTGCAGCTGAACCCAATCCACCTCAGGCTCTGAGACCCAGGCACCTGGTCCTGCCCCACCTCCTGCCCCCATCACGGGAGTCGACCACTCCGGCAAGCTCAACTCTTACTCTGGGGAAAGTGAAATCTATGGGGCAGTAGAGCCCCTGTCCCCTCACAGCAAACCAATACCTGGGTGAGCCTGGGATAGAGAGAGATGCACATCACTCCCTCATCTGAAGACCATTTAGAGCAGAAATCCTAGGACACCCAACACGGTGTATATGTCAAAGCCCAGCTCAGGAACAGAGTGAGCTGTCTCACCACTAAGTGACCAAGGGGCCCTGCAGTCCTAGGGACATAGCTGGAATTTCATGGAGGATCTGAGCGGTCTGCCCCAGGCCTGCTTCTCTCCTGTAGCTGCAGCTTCTAAGGAGCTCTGTGGGTCCAGCTCTGACTCACCACTGCTGGTTCTGCATACAAGCCCCCGAGCTGCTAAGATGGCTGTGCACGCAGCAGAGGCCCCTCAGAACTGCCATGTTCAGACTCACCTATGTGTGGATCGAGTGGCACTTTGCCCAGAAGAGGGATCTTCAGGTCCTGGCACATGGCCTCTGCACCCCCAGTTGTGGGAGGGAAGATCTGAGACTCTTTCTTGCACTTGGGGCAGATGAAGCCACTCATGTTCTCTACCACACCAATGATGGGCAGCTTCACCTTGTGGCAGAAGCTGATCTCTTTCCGGACATCCTGGAGGGCCACCTCCTGGCAAAGTTCACAGAACAGTTATCCCTCAGCCAAAGGGCACTGAAAGACACATGTGAGCCAGGAGGTGTCATACAATCATCAGAGTGCTCACTCACCTGAGGGGTGGTAAGGACCACTGCCCCATCAATATGTGCCGCAGCCAGATACTGGACCACAGAGAGGTGTTCATCGGATGTGCCGGGTGGGGTGTCTATGATGAGGTAGTCCACATCTCCCCAGTCTACATCACGGAGGAACTGCTTGATCATACCTGGAAGTGGCTGAGGCTGAGTATGTGCCTTCTTTCTAGCAAACATCTCCTGAAGCATCCTTCAGTATGCGTGAGCACTTGGCCTACATTCTCAGCCTCAGTGCAGTGACACTGCTGTCCCCAGGGGCCAGGAGGTGAGATCTGTAGACATGTTGGGTGGCCATGATGAAGCCAGGGGTGCTACTGTCAGTATGTGTGGCACACGCATGTTGTTCCAACAGTCATGTGACTAAAGTGTTAAGAGCGAGAAGGTGCTTGCCCAGCCATGCTGTCTTGCTTCATCTTATGCTTCCCCAGAAAGGGGTTTTCAGTCCATACTTCCCTCCTTGATACCAACCAGCCACCTGATACCACACTACAGACCATTTCGGGATCCTACAAGTCTCAAGAGTAGAAAGCTCACAGTAGGTAATAAAATGTCTACACTGAAAACTGGTATTTCTCAGTTTTATCAGGGAGGGTGAATGCTGAAACAGAACACACTACACACCAGGGTGTGGCTCCAGGTGAGAGCATTTGTAGGCATGAGGTCCTGGGCTCTATCCCAGGACCAAAATAATAGCCCTAACACACTGCAAAGCCCATCAAACGCCCATGGCCTCCCCCAACAGCCTGGATGTAGACAGAACCAGGAATCGGAACCAGGGAGGAGTGACAAACCATTTTTCTTTGGTCCCCTCCAGATGACAGCATCATCCGGGCTGCTGAGCAGGAAGCCCACAGACATCACCCCCAGGTTGTCCTCCACATACTGCAGCAGGGATGGGAAGAAGGGGAGAAACACGGTTGCTTATCAGGGGACAAGGGCACGACACATCCACACAAAACCACCAGTGGGCACTTCCCAAATAATTTGGTAAAAATAGTAATAAAAAATAAAAATAAATCAGGATAAAGGTACCATGTGCCTTACACCCACACTTGCTCTTTGCAACCTCAAAACATTTTTGAGAAACAGGTGGCCATGTGTGGCCTGTGCCTCAGCTAAAATAAACAGTCTCCTCAAGTGTCCAAATTGGATCAGCAGAGACTCTATAACCCTGTTTTGTAGGTGAGGTTTGACTGGGGCACACTGTGGTCATTCAGTTGCACAGTACCACTTTGGAGCTATGGAACCAGAGAGCACAGGTCCACGAGCCCCGTTACAGACAAGGCCTGCTCATCCTTGGTCTGGAAAACAGTCTCAGTCAATGTTCAACCCTTGCCTCCAACAGCCCATCAGATATAACTAACCCCCACACACTGCCTCCCCAAGTAAGGCTCACTCACCACTGGAGACCAGCCGGAGCCACTCTGGTGAACCTGTGGGAACATGACAGTCATTCTTGTCACTGACAACGTGACCATGGAGGATGACTTCACACAGTGTGATTCACTATCCTGTACTGCACCACTCAATTAAAAGGTCCCTGAATTACTTTTATTTAGTGGTGTGTGTGCCTGTATATGTTTCATGACTGCATATGTAGAGTTCAGAGGTCAACCTTCAGGACTCTCTTTCCACTATGTGGATCCTAGAACCCAGGTCATAGGGTTTGGCAGCAAGCACTTCTACCTGCTCGCCACTCAGTTCTTAAGGAGGGTTGAGAAATGAAGATCTTATTTGATACAAACACTCTATCCCTGCCCTTGCCACGGAACCAAAATTATTCAAGTTCAGGCACAACTCAGAGGATTTAAAAAGAAGGGGAGTGCCGGGCAGTGGTGGCACACGCCTTTAATCCCAGCACTTGGGAGGTAGAGGTAGGCGGATTTCTGAGTTTGAGGCCAGCCTGGTCTACAGAGTGAGTTCCAGGACAGCTAGGGCTATACAGAGAAACCCTGTCTCAAAAAACCAAATAAATAAATAAATAAATAAATAAATAAATAAATAAATAAATAAATAAATGGGTAGTGCTGCCAGCAGCAGAGAAAACACAAGCATGTCAGGTCGGCCAGGCAGCCATGCACAGCAGCAGAGGGAAACTACTGTGACCTTCAGTGCCACAGCTGATTCCAGGCTGCCCTGAGCAAGTGGCAGAGATGGCTTAGCCATTAAAGGCACTGGCTGCCCCGTGCTCAAAGGACCTGGGTTCAGTTCCCAGCACCTGTATGGTAGTTGCTTACATCTGTCTGTAATTCCAGGTCCTGGGATCTGACACACTCCCTGGGACTTTTTGGATACTGTGTATATATGATTCACAGACAAACATGCAGGGAAAATACCCTTACACGTAAAATAAAATTTTAAAAGCTACTCTTGGGCTGGGCTTGGTGTTACACACCTTTAATCCCAACACTCTGGAGGCTATGACAAGTGAACCTCTATGAATTCCAGGCCAGCCAGGGCCACCCAGTGAGAGCTTGTCTACCAAACAAACAAACAAACAAACCCCAAAACTGTCCCAGTCAGTGGCCTGAGCCCTGACTCCAGAATGCTACCTACAGGGGCAAGAGCCCAGAGTTACCAGGAAGCCCCATGGGGCTATTTCTGGGCCTGGATCCCCAGGGCTGGGCTCTGTTCTGTTATGAAATTGGAATTTACACAACTTCTGCCTACACATCAGACTGGGCCTTCTCCTCTTTCAGTTTTCCAGACAGGGTCCTAATGCCAGCCTCCACCCCCAAAACTAAGTGTTCCTCCTGACTCACCCTCCCAAGTAGCTGGGACTACAGCTTACAGCACCATGTCTGGCTAAATGTCTACTTCATAAGACAACTCTGTAATACACATATTCCCATGTTGGCGAGTGTGTTGTGTAAAGGCTCACTGACTGGGGCACAGTCCTGCTTTTTTACTTCAACATGGGTACCACTATGCATACTAGCATCTTCATATGCACACCCGGGCCTTGGCAGTGTCTGGGTGAGCTTCCTATTTGCTAAGGCTAAAGGCTTCTGTTCCTGTCTCCTCTCCTGCCTGCCTTGGCCTATCCTCTGCTCTTTCCTGTGAGGATCATTGGCCTTGCTTGACATTGCATGCCTGGAAGAGGAGCCGGAGTGAAGGAGACAGCATCACCTGTGGCATCTGAGCCCAGCCCTGATTCTGTACACCACCAGAGGTCCTTCCAGGATGAGCAGACAACCCCACTGTCCTGCTGCTGAGTCACTCAGCAGTGCCACAGTCAGGGTCTCAGTTCCCTAGCAGAGACCACAGCTCTGAAAGATTCCCTTGCTTCCAGTGCAGACCCAAGCTAACCCAGGCCCTGAGTTACTGCTCAGAGTTGAATTTCCGATTCTCACTTCTGCATTCCGCTTGCTGTTTCCCTCTCCCACCCATAAAAGGCTCAAAAAATCCCCAGTGTTTCTCACATATGTGGATGTACCTTATATCTAATCCCAAATCCCTAAATCCACAGCCATTGAGAAAGGGGACAGAGGGGCCTGTACGTGCTTGCCCAAAGAGAACCAGTTAAATTCTCCATCAGCTCACCTGCTCTCCTTCTAAGCCCATGATCTTGGGAATCGATGGTCCACAGATATCGATGTCCAGAAGAGCAACCTGGGAATGAAAAGAGACAGGTGGTACCATCACTGACTGCTGGACTTTCAAGAAACGCACAGTGGGATGGGGAGTGGGCAACACACAAAAACAAATGGTTGAGCCTCCACTCTCCCATGGGAAGGATGGAGCATAGACCATCCAGGAACTCCTAGGGCAATAGGAATGCACACAGCTTCCGGTGTGGAACAGGTACATCAGGCCACTGGAGCGATTTAGGTGATTCGACCTAGGAGTGGACCATGATTTCTGCATCACAGAAGATGAAGCTGAGATTCAGAGAGGCCCAGGGACTTGTTCAATAAGCAGGGAATGGAGATGGAACAAAAGTCAGCATCTCCACTGCCAGTGCCTCTCCCCACCAGTCAGGCCTACAGCAGAACTATGGCTGACCTCTGGGCAAGCCCCAAGTTCCTGGGATCAAGCTGACAACAAGCTTTCCAAAGAGGCTTTCAACAAGAAAGGAGATGCCGGTCAGATGGCTCGGATATTAAGAGAACACACTTCCCTTAAAGAGAGCCTGAAATGGATTCACAGTACCTATGTTGGGTGGCTCAAGACCCTTTGTAATTCTTTCATGGGATCTGATGTCTCCTTCTAGCCTCAAGAGGAACAGCACTTGAGCACACAGTGGCCCCTACACACACCTTTTTAATTTTATGCATATGAGTGTCTTGCTTGTGTGTATGTCTGTGCATCTCATACAGGCCTGGTGTTCACGTAAGCCATGAAAGGGCATCAGATCCCCTGGAACTGGAGCTACAAACAGTTGTTAGTTGCCATCTGGGTGTTGAGAACTGAACCCAGGTCCTTTTAAAAGGGCAGTCAGTATTCTTAACCACTGAGCCATCTCTCCTGTCCTCCTATTTTTTTTTTCTAAAACAAAACAAAACCAAAACCCTAGAAGAATGAGGAGGAGGAAGATGAGGGAGAGAGGAGCTGGAGAGATGGCTCAGAGGTAAGAGCACTTGCTGGCTGCCCTTCCAGAGGACCCAAGAAAAAAATACTCTTTCTTCCATATCGGGCATCCAACACCTTCTTCTGGCCTATCAGACAGGCACCTGCACACACATGGCACTCACACAGACACACAGATACATAAAAATAATCTTTAAAAACATGAAAGGAATCTGGGAAGTTCTTGTGGGGACTTAGGTAGTCTCAGAAGACTTCCACCAAATCGACACTCCAGGCCTGCAGCTGTACGCACTGCCCTTGAGAAGGGCAGCCACTCGTCGTGAGAACTGTAGTGGGCACTAGGAGTGCAGCACCTCTGGGGAACTTTGGAACTTGCCCCATGCTCTCCGTCTTCCTTCTTCAGTCCTACTTCCTCTACATGCTGGCTGACTGCAGTGCCTGAGACTGAGAGGGACACAGGGGACTTCTTCACTAAGATCCTGTTTGCCTCCTGTGCCCTCTGCTGGTCTGGCCCAAAAGTGCAGCAAAGGGACATCTGCCACCATACAGAGGCAGGGACCTGGGTCTGTATGTGGCAGCATCTCTGCAGCCCAGCAGGGTTCCAGCCACCTTCTTATCAGTTCCTTTTGAGGAACGATTCTTCCCACAAGCCAGAGAAGAAGTCAAGCCAAGTGACAGCAGGATGCAATACGCAGCCTCTGATCTTCCTGAGGTGCTCTTTATGGGCAGACTGTCTGAGTCAGCACTCCAACAATCAATTGCTTCTCTCCTGCCTACATCAGGATAGTGGGTGCCTGCTGAGAACCAAGCCTGTACTTGTATGTCCCCAGGACCTCTCAGCTGCTGATGGCTAGGAGTCCTTCTCACAGTGAACTGGAAGTGGGGGCACTGTGGGGCTCTCAAGTTTCTTCTCTACCTTCTTCTACCTTTTTCTTAAGGTCTTGGTTTTGACTCTGCACCTTTCCAGAAGCCACTTCACCTGGAGGCTTCTCCCTCAGTCTTGTCTATCTGAGCTTCTGGCCTGTAAATCAAGAGCTTGAGGGTTCAGACGCATCCAGCTGGGGCGCCTCCAAACCCAGGGACAGGTCTCAGGTGCTTCCTCAGCATAACTGACAGTACATACAGATGCTGCTCGCCTTTGGCCCACGGAGCCCAAGATGATCCTTTACTGGAGTTAGACCCATGCAGTGGAAGCTGGCGTGGTGATGCTCCATCCACCTAGCTCCTCCCTCATTTACATACCTCCCTACCTCTGCCTAGGAGGGAGTGTGTGCGTGCATGTGTGTCAGGGCTCGACTCCACTTCTACTGTCTTTACCTAGGCCTTTTCCACACAAGATGACACACATCAACTAGAAAGAGACTGAGTGCCAGGTGTCTACGGCACCAGAGAAGGCAGCCTGAAGGCTGGAGACACTGTGCTACTGACTCTCAGTAAGCTCAAATTCAGTGTTCGCTGCATCTACACTGTGCACTGCAGACAGCCCAGAGAAGTCGGGCTTTCCTACAAGCTGCTTTCATTGCTGAGACAGTCTCACTGTGGAGCCCAGACTGACATGGAACTCCTGGCAAGACTCTTGAGCACCAAGACTTCAGGTGTGAGCCAGCTCGGCCAGCTCTTCATCTTTTTGAAACAACTGTAACTGCATAAATACAGCCTGCCTGGTCCTGTCTCCCCTGGACTCCATACTGAAAGGTCTGGACAAGCATGTGGCGGGCAAGACACTCTTGTAGGGAAGATAGGCATGTGAGCAGCTCCCATGCCTGGCCACAGCAGAGCCTGCGGCTACACAGCTAAGACTATTCCTAACAGTTCTAGAGCCAAAGCATATTCTGGACAAAATATGCATCAGTTTTTTGTCATTGGGGGTGTTGTTGCTGTTGTTGTTGTTGTTTTTAGTTGGGGAGGGGATGGAGCTGCTTCTGGGGATGAAGCAGGGACCTTGTACATGTCAGTCAAAGCTCCACCACTGTGCTCCAGCCCCAGCCCCTTATAAAAAATGCAAACTGCAATAAAAAAGGTTTCACTGTACTGGGCGATGCAAATTTAACCCTCTGGTGGCAAGAGACTGTCTCCTAACAGAACAATGAAGAGATGAACAAACGTAACCTGCCCTTGCTGTGGGCTGGGCAGGCTGCATGACAACTCTAAGGCAATCATCACTGAACTTCAGTTAGCAACAGGCGCTGTTAATGAAGATGGCTCCCAGGACATTCCCAGGACACTGACTGTGTGCTAGGCTCTGCGCTTGCATCGTAACTGCAGCCTCACACAGGCCTCTGAGCCCCATTTTATAGATGAGAAAATGGAGGCAGAGAGAGCGAGTCTGGTAACCAGCCTGGGCATCAGCAGTGACGGGGACAGAGCTGGGATATGAACCTGGCCTGCTCTTGGCCACCACACCTGTACTGAAGCCTCACCCAGAGCACAGGCCTGGGAATTTGAGTCAAGTTTGTCTGTTTTGAGACAGGGTCTCACTTTGTAGCCATGACTGGCCTTGAATTCAAAAGCCTACTGCTCTGAAATGCTGGGATTACAAGCATTTGCCACATGGCCGGGTGAGGTGATTCCAGTTCCATGCTTGCCTGTGCTCTTGAGATGAAGGACCTAGCACAAGGGTCATTTCTGTAAGAGGCAAATAGAAAATATCTTCTGCTTTATGGACAAAACCAATAATAACATATAGGTGCTTGTCTGACTGGAGAAGTGACCATTTGAATATGTAAATATCAGTTGACTATGTAAATAGCATTCTTAGCTCAGAGGAGATGGACCAAACTACAGCTGCAGCATCTGGACTTCAAGACAACAGAAAGAGCTTTATGAGGGGCCAGTGTAAAAGGTCAACTAGAATATGAAGAGGTACACTGACCTCTTGGTTAGAGAACTCAGCGAAACACCTCAGCCAGTGGCCAGGCAGTTCCTCATTCTCTGTAGGGTCAAGACAGTCAGAGAGGCTGGTTCCCTGGAGTCTGGGAATCACTCTCTAAAGCCATCAGCAGCCTCTGACACAAGGAGCACCTCCCAGGTTAGCCCAGGCTCCCACCTGTGTATCTCCATCCTCTGCCAGGCCATGGGCAAGGTGGGCACTGAATGTGCTTTTCCCAACACCGCCTTTCCCAGACAGCACCAAGATCTTGTGTCGTACAGTCTTCATCTTCTCTCTGATTTCCTCCACAGCTGCAAAGGAATGGAGGAAGTGAGTCCTACCTGTCCCTCTTCCAAAGTGCTAGGAAGTGTCACACTCTTAAGCTGTTTCTAAGGCTCTTTGTAAGACATCACTTCAGCAAAATAATAATAAATGCTAGGAAGAAAATATAGTTTCTATTAGCCTGAAAAAAAAAAGCTGTCTTCTTTATGCAGTACCTCATCTACTAGAACATGGGCTCCCAGGAGAGTGGGCTGTTCAAAGCCCCAGCTCCTGAACAGAACCCGGTAGAGAGGAAAGCTGTATAACTCCACAGGCATCTCTTCACATCTGCAGAAATTCTTTGGCTGTCACAAGGAGGGACTACTGACATCTTAGACGATGGATGCTAAGTGTCTTAGCACAGAATAGCCCCAGTAAAAAGGCATGATCAGTCTCAAATGTCACTAGGGCCGAGGATGAGAAACTGACGGGCTCTCAGCAGGTAACCATCCCAGCAGCTCACTGCTTTTCCAATGTCACGTCTTAGTTCAATCCTTACAAACTACACTGTGGGGTGACTATTCTTCATGATGAGGGCATTCAGAAGTCCTGCTCAAGGTCAGTTTGCAGGTGACCTAACAACCAAACCCAGCTTCTCTCTGAATCCGCTCAAGAGCCTTCTCCCAGCTTCCTGTTCCCCAAGACCCTTCCAGGCAGGTTTTCAGTATCCTCCCCCTGGAGCTGGCCCTTCACAGTGCTTATCCCTGTCAGGTTTAATGTGTCTGCTTCTGCTTCCTCTCCCACTTTGGTCTGTCTCCCATCTGTCTCTCCACTGAGATAATGATCACTCATGTCTGCTGAAAGAGACTCCTTAACAGGAAGGATTCTTCTCTGACACAGACAGAGCCTCTGTGACCCATGATGGACATGTACCAGGCCTTAGGCCTGGAAAGACCTCAGTATTTATCCATTTTGCCCTCTGTGCTTGGCCTTGTGTATGCTGAGGTCAGTGGTTATCACTCCAACCCTGTATTTGCCCCACATCACTTTTTTCAATTCTATCCTTCTTTAAGGTCCTATTTACAATTAAAAAAAAAAAAGGAAGGATCTCGTCTAAGCTCTGGCTGGCCTCTAATCATTATGAAGGATGACTTTGAACTCCTAAAAGTCTTAAGTGCTGAGATTACAGGAATGTGCCAGCACATTCGACCTAACTAATGTTCGTTCATTCACTCATTCATTTATACAGGGTCTCATCCTGTAGCCCAGGCTGGCTTTTAACTTGCAGCCATCCTCCTGCTTCTGGCCCTAGAATACCAGAGGAACAAGCCTATGCCACCAAGCTTATTTAAATGCCCCTTTCGGTTCCCTATCACAGATGAGACTAAATCTCAATTTCTCCCGCTGTTGGACTTTGAAAACCTCCCCCTCGCTCCTCAAGCTCGGCTTTCTACGCCAAACCCCTACAACCAATTACAATATTGCCCACTAGCCGCTGTCATTCACCTCTCAAGTCCCGCCCCTTCCACTTCCTGATCTGCCCGCCGCTTCCTCCTCACCCGGGTCCGGTGCGGCGCTGGCTCCGGATGCACACAGTCTCTGGTTGGGGCATCCTTGGCACGAGGCTCCTCGGCCCGCCTGGGCGCTGTCGGCCCCGGGGCAGCCTGCGCGGAGACAAGGGCACAGTCAGAGCGGCTCGGTCCCAGCGGGACCACCCACGCGTCCTGCGCTAGCTCACCGTGGGGCGCCTCCTCCATGCTGCCTCTCTTGCCTGGGCTGCGCTCGCCGGAACTTCAGAGGCGTGCTTCCGCCTCGCGGGTCCAATCTGACCCTCCGGCCGCGTGAACAGTCTCGCCAGACCAGGACTGCGCACGCGCGAAAACCGTGCGTGCAGTGGGTGGGGCTCTTATGAATGTTCCCGCTAAAACTGAGCTTAGTCTCTCAATTTATGGCATCTGAGCAGATGAAGTGGCTCTAACGATTAAAGGTGCTGTTGAGCCAGCCTGCGTTCAAGATCCAGAACTCATATGATGGAAAGCGAGGATGGACTCTGACACATACACATATGCACAGTAATACGTTTTTGGTTTTGTTTTTTAAAGTATGGCTTTTGTCGTCAAAGAATGTTATTCTCCATGACCTCAGTGTTGATGCAAAACTGCTAGTAAAAGTACAATCTAGCCGGGCGGTGGTGGCGCACGCCTTTAATCCCAGCACTTGGGAGGCAGAGGCAGACGGATTAATGAGTTCGAGGCCAGCCTGGTCTACATAGTGAGTTCCAGGAAGCCAGGGCTACACAGAGAAGCCTTGTCTCGAAAAACCAAACCAACCAACCAAACAAAACAAAACAAAACCAAACCAAAAAAAAAAAAAAAAAAGTACAATCTATGTCAATATCTACTCAGTTTCAGATAATCTGCCCTACCCTAGATTTGTTACAGGCTGGGATTGTGGCTCAGTTGGTAGAGTGCTTGTTCTATCATGCGTGAGATCCTATATTTAGTCCCCAGCACTGAAACAAAACAGAACCAACAAAGCACTCCCTCCCGTTCTTTCTTCTCTCCTCTCCTTTCTTCTGCCCAGGCTGATCTTGAATTAATGATTTTCTTGCCATGCTTGTCTAAGAGGTGAGAGTTCATAAAGGGGTGTACCTCAGTGGTAGAGTGCCTGTTTAGTAAATTAAAAACCATAAATTCAATCCCTAGCAGTATACGGGGTTAGGGTTAGGGTTAGGGTTAGGCAGCAGTGTACAGTCTCATTTGATCCTTGTACCTCCATCTTTCAGCTGTTGGGATTACAATTACTCCTGGCTCCTGGGCTTAAAAAACAAACAAAAAAACAAAACAAAACTGAAACACCCTTAAAATTGCTATGCTATTGAGAATAATATTGCGTTTGGTTGTTTTCCCCTCAGATTTGTTCGGTGAAACCTCTTCAGACCCACTCCTGTCCCCACTGGGAGTTTTTCCTAGCTTTCTCTCACTCCAGGTCACCACTGTCCTTCTGAAAGCTTGGCTGTGTCTGTGGAGCAGTGTTTAGACGTCATGAAGACATCCCGTCCACGGGCACAGCCATGGGAGCATGGCTGCATGCAACCTTGGCACAAGGTGATGGTGGTGGTTGGTACTGTTCTCATTGAATGATTTCAAACGTTTTTCATTTAGTTTTGAGAGTATTACATCATTTCTCCTCTCCTTTTCCTCCCCCCAAACCCTCCCATATAACTCTCCTTGCTGTTTATCAAATTCATGGACTCTTTTTTTATTGTTATTGTAACAGGCCCCCAGACCTTAGCACAAGTGTCTCCATGGTGGAAGTGCCATTCAGGCCATAAAACTCAGCACTTCAGGCCAAAATGAAAACAAAGACATAATCCATCAAAGTCCATAGTTCTGAGAAAGTCTCTAAATGTACTAACCTTGCTTTTTTAGCTTCTGTAGTGCCGATTCTGGCTAATTGTTCTTGTTAACTGAAGTATGTCAACCCAGAACATGGTTTGTGTGCCTAAAAGCTCGTTCCAAGAAAGGCTCAATGCTACACTGGGATCCTGAATAGCAAAATCTTCCTATTGGCTTAAACCCATGTCTGAACAGTCTTCTCTGATGAGTACCCTGTTGTGTCTATAAAAAGATAAAGGGAGAGGGGATATGCTTGGTGGGGGTATAGTCATGCATGGGGGGAGGGAGTGCCTCGGCAGGCCCATGATGAGGCATCCCTTCCCCCATTTATTCAGGGAATGGGGGGGGCAGGTTGAGAGGGTAGTAGAGACAGAGAAAGGAATAGGGGGGGGCACATATTGTGATCATACCAGCTTTATAGGGTATAGGGTATGGAACATAAACAGGGAAAATATGCAACAGTGGTGGCTGTGGAACGTTGCATTGTCTTTTAGCAATGACTTGTCACGTTGGCCTTAGTGATGGAGACTGAAGGTGGGAGAGGGGAGGGAGGAGCACATATGGGTGGTTCTTGATTGACTAACAAGGCCATTCCTGCTTCAGGCCTGTCTCCAAACCTGGGACTTGGAGATCCCCACCCCCATGACTTCCATTCCAGCTGTACTTTTTCACCAGCTCACCACACATGCTCCAGCATCCTAAAAAGCCCAGCCTTTTTGCCCACCCTGCTGCTTTTGCTGTTCCCATTTGGAGGTGGCCGCATTCTGTGTTTCTCCTCAATAAATTTCTGTGTGACTTTGTGGTGTTCCTTGAGTTTGAAACCAGCCTGATCTGCACAGCCAGCTGAGGGTAATAAGGAGATCATGTCTCAAAGAAAGAAAGAGAGAAAGAAAGAGAGAAAGGAAGGAAGAAAAGAAGGAAAGAGAAGAGACAAAGAAAATGAATGGTGAAACTAAGACAAAGCTTGGTGGATGAGTTCTTGTGTAAACAGCCTAAGAAAGACCCTAAAACATCTTAAATCCTAAACAACTTAAGTTTAGTTGTAAGAGTAATAACTATCTAGTCTTTAACCCTGTCAGAGATTTGAGAAGGAATAAATATTATTTGAGTATGTAGGAAACACATGTATGCAGCTTTTAAGAATCACAGAAATGGCAGAGATAGCTTACCACTGGACAGTCTCTAATGTTTCATATAATGCTGGAGCATCTATCCTCAGTCTTCTGGCCCAGAACATCTGACAGACTTTAAGTGATGTAGGAATTAGGAAGGACTAGCTTAGCCTGTCTTGGCAGAACTTAGCAGTTGACTATCCTGCATCCATTTGTCCTTTTTGGACAGCATTTTGTCTGCAGATAAAATCAGGGCGTTTCTTGCCCAGTGGCTAGCTTACCACAACTGAAGCAACTCCACGTGGAGGTAGTTGATGCTCATCATCATCTTTGAAGGGGACTGGGGTACTGTTAGGATGTTAGAATCATCCCCTCAGAACTGAAGGCAGAAAGTCATTGGAATTTTGAACATGTTAATTGCATGATGTATTAACGTGTATATACCTCAATTTTTGGAATTTTATAAAACGAAACATGTGTGGCATTTTTTAAGTTAGCATTAATAAGCAGAATTTGGCTTTTTAATTTAATATATTATATCTCTATGGTCTGCCATTTTAGTTTTTTAAACTCTGTGGAACCTTTGTCTGGAAATATGTTTTTTGATGTTATTATAAGTTTTAGATTGGATTTTTTGAGGTTTTTTAATTTTGATTTAAAGATTTTTTTAACCTCTGGGTTTTTTTGTTTTGTTTTGGTCTCTAATCTTTTTGGTCTTTAATTTTTAGTCACTTTTTAAAAGTCTGTTTTGATCTTGTCTAAAGAGGACATACAAAACTGTAATTATTCAGCCAGGGCTACACAGAGAAACCCTGTCTCAAAAAACCGAAAAACAAACAAAAAACAAAAAACCCCTGTAATTATTGAAAAACCAGTCATTTGTATGCTGATAAGTGCAGCAAGATCATATGGAATCCAGATGTAGTATGTTCTGGTGCTTCCCTCCATCCCAAATATAGAAAAAAGTTTTAATTTAAAAATTTAAGGACTTTATATATTTACATTAAATAATCTTAATTTTTTAATATTTAGCTTTTTCATTGGTTTTTAAATTCAATACATTATCAGTTTAGACCCTTGAGACTTTTAGTTTGTACCATGTATTGCATTAGCCACACCCTAGCTGTGGATTTGAAGCAGTGGCATCAGAGACTTTTGGGGGAAGATAGGTAAAGAGGATGAAGGAAGATTCTTCAGGGGTTGCAGGCTCATGTCTGGTGTCAGACATGTATTCCAGACTGACCCCCAACTCCTTAAACTGATTAATATAAACTACTTCTTGTATCTAAGTCTCAGTTTTCTCATCTGCAAAGTGGGGAGGATAAAGCTTTTCGTTTTAGAAGTCAGCTGGGAGTCTGACTTCTAAACATAGGCACTGGCAAGATAGTTCAATAAATTGAGGTGCTTGCCACCTAGCTTGATGACCTGGACACATATGGTAGAAGAAGAGGGCCTCAAGTTGTCTCTTGACTGCTGCATATACACTATGACACATGTGTGCCTCAGACATTAAATACCCACTATGGCACATGTGTGCCTCAGACATTAAATACCCACTATGGCATGTGTGTGCCCCAGACATTAAATACCCACTATGACACATGTGTGCCCTAGACATTAAATACCCACTATGGCACATGTGTGCCCCAGACATTAAATACCCACTATGGCACATGTGTGCCCCAGACATTAAATAAATACAATTTTTAGTTTTAGTTTTTGTTATTTTAAAAATTAAAAAAAGACATGAAGCCAGAACTTGCAAGGAGCAAGGGTCCCACACCTTTGTAGTTAAATAACTGTGGGGCTGTAGTAAAAGCTGTGGCGATCAAGTCCTGCACTTTTATTTACCAAGGGGAAACTGAGGCCAATGTCAGGAAAGCTACACCAATCACACTGCAAAAGGCTGGATCAAACAAGGCTAGAAGCCGAGCCAGAAAGGATGAAGAATCAGCTGCTGGTTCAGCTGGACAGGTCTGGCTAAGACTTGCTCATCGTGGGGCTGGAGAGATGGCTAATATTGGTATGGAGCCAAGAGCACTGGCTGTCCCTACAGAGGACCCAGGTTCAATTCCAAGGACCCATGTGGTGGCTCACAGCCATCTGTGACCCCAGTTTCAAGGGATCCAATACCCTCTTCTGGTTTCCAAGGGCACCAGAAATGCATGTGGTACACAGACAGGCAGACAGACAGGCAGACACATAAAATAAAAATATATAGATCTTTTTAGAAAGAAAGAGGAGAAAGATGAGACCTGTGTGTGGGTACTTGTGCCTGTAATTTCAGCCACTAATTCAAGGATTCAGGGTGCAACCATGTTTTTACAAAAACAAAAAAAAATTAAGGGAAGGAGAGGGTGCTGCCGGTAAGATGGCCCAGCAGGTAAAGGCCCTTGCCGTCAAGCTAGAGAAAGGAAATTCAAACCCTAGCTCCCAGAGTGGGAGGAGAGAACCGACTCCAGCAGGTTGGTCTTTGACCTCCCTGTGTTCACTGTGGCACCTGCATGCCCTGTCACCATCCACAGACATTTATATGGTTTAATCCTAGAGTCAGCCAGTAGGTGGAGATGTTCCTCTCTATCATCAAAGTAATCAGGAAATGGAATTAAACTGAGCTCAGTGGGTAGAAAATTTTCTATTCCTTCCTTTTGGAGTTTGAAAACAACAGCAGCAACAACAACAACAAACTGTGCTCTCGGTGTGTGAATGTCTTCACTGTCTAGCACCCAGCACACAGGCGTGGCAGCCTTTCCTATGTCCTTGTCGGCTGTGGGCGCTGTCCTTTCCCCTCTGCTTTGATGTCATATTATCCACTCCATGCTTCACCAAGGTTGAGCTGCAGCCGTTGCTCCGTCATTTCCCATCCTGCCCCGGTCCCTGGAAATACCTCTATACCAATAGTAGCTAACTGTTGCAGCCCAGGGCGACAGACAATGGGTCATCAGCTGCACCTCTGGAATCTACCCCAGTTGCTCTGTCAAGGCCACCATGTGTCTCTGTGGTCTTTGTGTCCCTAATGTCCTCTGAGGCCTGTTGTCACTCGATGCCTGAGTGTACAGAGTCTTTGCAGGGCATTTGTTGGACCCCTGGCCCTTGTGAGGCACTTCTCATGAGTGATATCACACTGAGAGTATCCCATGCTGTAAGTCTGCAGCCCAGAGCAGCCCAGAGCAGCCCAGAGCCTACTGTTTTTCTTACTCTGTACCATGGAAATATGGACATATTGGAATATATAAAACAGCACCCCCACCCCCACACAGCAAATAAACAGCATTTCTCTACATTCTGGATGCTCATCTGCACTCCTTATAGGGAACTGAGGGGAGTTAAGCCCCAAGCTCTCATGTATTTCAGATGTTGAATGTCCCTGAAAGCCTATGTTGAGGCTTGGTCCCAAGGGTGTCACTGTTAGAGATGGTAGAGCCTAACAAAGGTCCTTAGGGATGGGGGAGGGGCTGTACTTGAAGAGGGTTCCAGGCTCCTGCCTCCACTTTCCTCTCTTTGATCCCCTGTTCATGGTATAGTACTATTCCTCTACCACACTCTGGAACAGTGTGGTCTTCTCGGGGCACATCTTGTCAGGGTCCCAAATCAGGGGCTACTTAATTACAGACCAGAAGCTACAGAACTATGAGCCAAAATAAACCTTTTCCTGATTCATTAACAGCCACAGAGGGTCAGATTTTCTTCTCCGTTCCCAAAGAGGGTAAGGCCCAACACAGCAGCCTTCTTCCCACTCAGCACTGTGTTGTTGTTACACTCAGTGGTTAAGAGTGGAGGGAGTTTCTCAGTGGGACAAAATTGTCACAGAATAGAATTAAACACATTCCAGAGAAGTAAGTGTCTCATTCTAGATGTTTGAAACTGTGCAGGATGCTGGGGGTTTCATTATAAAGAAAAACAAGTGTGGTGTCAGCTTCCTGGGACTCAGAGTTTTCCCTCCATATTTTAAAATTCAAGCATATCAAAGTACAGTTTATAAACAATTCATTTAAAATTACACACGTACACACACACATACATATTGTGATGGCTTGTATATGCTTGGCCCAGGGAGTGGCACTATTAGAAGGTGTGGTCCTGTTGGAGTAGGTATGTCACTGTGGGTGTGGGCTTTAAGACCCTCATCCTAGCTGCCTGGAAGTTAGTATCTGCTAGTAGCCTTCAGATTAAGATGGAGAACTCTCAGCTCTGCCTGCACCATGCCTGCCTGGATGCTGCCATGTTCCTGCCTTGATGATAATGGAGTGAACCTCTGAACTTGTAAGCTAGCCCCAATTAAATGTTGTCCTTATATAAGAGTTGCCTTGGTCATGGTATCTGTTCACAGCAGTAAAAACCTAACACTAAGGCATATATGTGTATGTGTATGTGTATGTGTATGTGTATGTGTATGTATGTATATATATATATATATATATATATATATATATATAATTTGTATATTTGTATATGTGGGGGGTGCATACATGTGCCACAAAACTTGTGCAGAGGCCAGAGGATAGCTTGCAGGAGTTGTTTCCTTCTTTCCATCATGTAGGTCCTGGGAACTGAACTTGGGTCATCAGGCTTGGTGGCAAGTGTTTTTATCCACTGAGCTATCTCACTGGCCCTGATTCAGTTTTACTAAAATGTTCTATGGGGTTTGACAAATATGAATAGCTTGTACAACCTCCTCCACAATCAGAGATGC